TCGGAATATCAAGTTTTTAATAGATACTTCCTATACCTCATCTAGGGTAATCCAATCCCATTGCTGATATAGCCGATCCAAATGGTCGTTACATCCTAGCATATACCTGGAAAACCGGTATTTAAGGCTAGCAACTTTTCCTCCTACCTTCTGTAAGCTTCCGGTTCTTCTAATTTTGCCTTTTCGAGGTCTTCATCGGTCGGCTGGACTACCGTCGCCATTTTACAGCCTTCTTCCGGGCGACCGATTGAGAGGCTTGTGATGACTAAAACATTTTCTATAAATAAATCTTTATTTATACTTACCGTACGGGAACATGATATCTTCTTGTAAAATTTGAGCTATGCCCCGGTTTTTAGTGTCGATTCTTCGTGCGATTTGGTCTAACAGGAAGCCGTAGGTGAGGGCGTGGTAGCCGGACTGAAAATAAACTTATGCTATGTAAATGTTCGACATAGGTGTCATTTGAGATCTAGGCCTAGGCTTAGGCATAGGCTTAGGCATAGACTTAGGCATAGGCTGCGGCCTAGGATTAGATTTAGGCTAAAAATTACAGGGTGTGCAAAAAAAAGGCCACAGTTTGGGTCGAAATAACTCGCGAACGGTAGAGAATCGAAGGTGCGTTGCCATGCCAGAATGCTTAAATATGCTGGGCATGAAGATTTAACACAACTTGATTTTTTCGATTTTTGGCGACGTATCAATACAACGACACCCGAAAACTGTGCGTTCGGGGAAACTTCATTTGCATTTTTCTCAGTTTCCTGTGGTGGCTGGCTTCTAATTTTTATGAAGTAAGTTAATGTGGGCAGCAGATATGCACCTGCAAAATTTAAGAATTTTTGAAGGTCTGGTTGACAAGTTATAGAGGAATGAAATTTTGTATGGGGAAATTTCGTAATTTTTCGATATTCAAAAAACTCATGGTGGAAACGTCAAAATAACTAGTTGTCGAATACCTACGGACTATGCACAATCGCATAAAAATATTGAAAAAAATTTCGAGATCGACGAATTTTCGAGTTTTTCAACGACCCCCTGGTCCTCGATTTTTACAGGTCTCGAAACCGAACTCTGGAAAAATATTTCTAAATTGCCAAAGGAGACCCAGCTATTTTCTTTTTTTGGTTATGTAGAACTGGGGTTTATCTATCATCTAAAATTTTTCGAGCCACCGTACCCCGTTGGAAGGGCGTCTTTTAGGGCCTCCAAAACGGTTCGTTCGTGCTTTTTTCCAAACCTTGTCACCATTTTATAAAATTTAGTCGCGCCTTGAAAATTATCGTTTTATTTTTTTCTGATACCATTTAAATAGCGCATCCTAAAGCCCTGTTCAGGAGTTTTTTAACCAGCCGTTGGCACCAAGAAAATTCATCAAAAACCGAAATAAACCGAATCTGAAGGGGCGTAAAAAAATTTTGGGCGGTGAAGTCGCCGGGATATTTTTACCAATAAATCTGTGTTATCAGTTAAATAAAACTATGCAAAGACAAAAAGAATTTCGCGTCGCAAAAATTTTAAGAGGAATTTTAAACTTCGATTTTGGAATAGGGTGATTTTCGATTGAAAGCTGAAAGTCACCATAATTTTGAATCAGATTGCCCCCAAATTTTACGGGTGTAAATAATAACATTAAAGCTATGATCGTATCCATAAGACCTAGCCGGTTTTTTTATTTTTAAAAATTCGAGAATTGACCCGGCTACTCGGACCCAAAATCGGCTCTCAGGCCTTGTTTTGCGCTTTGCCTCGTAACTTTGTTATTTACCACCGAAAATCTGTAATTTTTGACCAGCTATCTTACAATCACCTCTAGAAGGCCCTCGAATTGAAAAATCGTCAATTTATGGAATTTTGTGATGGCATGCTAAAACGCGCTCCACCGGGGTTACGGTAGAAAACCGAAATTTGCGCTTTTCGTGGTGTTTTTGCCATGGAATTGTTTCGATCTTTTGGTAAAACTAATAGTAGCTGCTTTTGGTATAATTGACCAAAAAATTTGCAAAATTTTGTGGCAGAACTACAAAATCAGTTTTTAGCCTTTTTCCGGAACGTTTGTGGATAGTACGTTCTCGTATTCGGCAATGAGGTGCCACAAGCGATTGCCTAACCACCCAGAAAATTTCAGTCGGATCGAAGCTAGGGGAGCCGAGAAAAGCGGGAGAAACGAAACCTACAGTACCCCGTTGGGGCACGTTTTAGCAAGCAATACAAAAATACCATAGATTGTGGTGGGTTCTGGTGTGGGATCCGAGATTAATATTTGGATAAGTGATTGGCAAAAAAGCAGCCATGGGCAGTGAGTTAGAAGCGAGTTATCACTCAAAGAAGAAAAATAACGCAAAATCGCGAAAATGGTTTGGCGTGTAAAAGATGAAATAGACCTCGAAAAAGTCTAAGATTTTGTCATTACGTTTCAATCGATTTCCGGCCAACTCGCCGACATTCGACTCGCCGACAGCCAACCCGCCGACAGCCGACTCGCCGACAGCCAACTCGCCGACAAGTCAACCCGCCGACAGCCAACTCGCCGACACTTTGACTCGCCGACAGCCAACTCGCCGACACTTTGACTCGCCGACAGCCAACTCGCCGACACTTCCACTCGCCGACAGCCAACCCGCCGACAGCCGACTCGCCGACAGCCAACTCGCCGACAAGTCAACCCGCCGACAGCCAACTCGCCGACACTTTGACTCGCCGACAGCCAACTCGCCGACACTTTGACTCGCCGACAGCCAAATCGCCGACACTTCCACTCGCCGACAGCCAACTCGCCGACATTTTCAAGTATCCTAGGGTCGACAGATTTGATTACACCAAGTTTTCACTGATTTGCTTTCACACTTTAAATGCAATTTTAGGGTAGGTGCTAAAGGTCGCGCAAAATCGAACCCGCATGGCTAGCCTGCAGCAAGCGCTTTACACCACTAGGCCAAGGCAGGAACGGAAGACGGGAGGTGGAGGCGGGTTATGAAGCGCAGAGTACGCTATGCCAGATTGCAGGATTCTGATCCAAACTTTCATGCTAATTTTGAATTACCGGAACCAGCTCCCTAAAATGAATGACTACGGCTCATTTTGACCCGAAAATTTGCATGTAGCAAGATATTTCTGTCGACTCATAAAATACATGAAAATGTCGGCGAGTTGGCTGTCGGCGAGTTGGCTGTCGGCGAGTTGGCTGTCGGCGAGTTGGCTTGTCGGCGAGTTGGCTGTCGGCGAGTTGGCTTGTCGGCGAGTTGGCTGTCGGCGAGTCGAATGTCGGCGAGTTGTCCATTCACCGTTTCAATCAATTAAAGCCATTTATGAGCCAAAAACCAGAATTTTCCCACCACCCTTTCAAGAACGCACAATTTTCGGTCGTAATCAGCGTCATTAGTACAGTTGCGTGCCTCAGAGTCGAAATCATCAAGTTGTGTTCAAATCTTCAATGCGTGCCAGCATATTTAAACATTCTGCAGCTGGCAACGCACCTTCGATTCTCTACCGTTCGCGAGTTATTTCGACCCAAACTGTGGCCTTTTTTTGCACACCCTGTAGATTTAGACTTAGGCTTGGCTTAGC